AATATTCCCCTGTCTGAAAGCACAGTGGTTAATGATCATCAGAAAGAATCATGAACTTCTTTTGATACCAGCATTAGCTGTATAGACACTTTAGCCTGTCTATTGACTGTCTTGACAGGGCAGATCTAGCTGGACCAATCACAGTGCAGGAGGCAGGACATTACTATGTAACTCTCAGCACCAGAATGACCCATAATGCATCAGCACTTTGCTGTTGGGTGCAGGAGTTTGCCCTGCAATCGGAGGGTTGTTGGTTCAAGCCCTAGCTCCGGCTTTCAGTGTCATCTTGTCCTTCATCTTTATTGCCTACTGATGGTGGTCAGAGTGCCCGGTGGCACCAATGTACGGCAGCCTTGCGTCTGTAAGTGAGCCCCAGGACAGCTGTGGCTACGATGTAGTTTGTAGCAACAAATATAGTGTAAAGCCCTTTGGATTAAATCTCCTGACTTGAAAAAGCCCTATATAAGTACAGACCATTTACCATAACAACAAGTTGGAGACCACGAAGGAGCAATGTTGAAATAAAAATCAACAATGTAAGAGAGAGTGCACCTCAGATCTTTTAGGGCAAAACATGTCTCTTGGATGCTTGTTGCGTCCCATCCATAGTTATCTGATTGGTTCTCCCCTGCTGAGGCTGACCTTGAGATTGGTTTAATCTACCAACCAGGGTTATATTGAAGAACAGGGAGCAGAGAGATTTTTTATTTGAGCTAAAAAAAAAAACTTATAAAGTAGACAAACATATTAAAATGTAATTTAGACCAGATAAATTCTCATTTCTACACCCAGTCCAGTTCTACATATTGACAAAAAAGTTTTGCTTAATAAACTGGATATATGCTGTTCAAAAAAATAAAAGGATCACATAAACAACTCAATATAACTTCAATTAAATCAAACTTCTGTGAAATCAAACTGTCCATTTGGAAGCAACATTGATTGAATATCAATTTACCATGCTGTTGTGACTATGGAACTGATGACAGGTGGAAATTGTTGACAATTAGCAAGACACACTCAATAAAGGAGTGGTTCTGCAGGTGGGGACCACAGAGAGCTTCTAACTACCTATGCTTTCTGCCTGATATTTTGGTCACTTTTGAATGTTGGTGATGCTTTCATGCTCGTGGTAGCATGAGAATACTCTACAACCCACACAAGTGGCTCAGGTAGTGCAGCTCATCCAGGATGGAACATCAATCAAAGCTGTGGCAAGAAGGTTTGCTGTGTCTGTCAGCGTAGTGTCAAGATGCTGGAGGCATACCAGGAGACAGGCTAGTACACCAAGAGACGTTGAGGAGGGTTTAGGAGGGCAACAACCCAGCAGCAGGACCACTACCTCTGCTTTTGTACAAGGAGGAACAGGAAGAGCACTGCCAGAGCTCTCCAAAATTACCTTGAGCAGACCACAAATGTGCACATGTCTCCACAAACGTTTAGACACCAAGCTCATGAAGATTGTATGTTGGCCCGACGTACACAGATGGGGCTTTTGCGCACAGCCCAACACCATGCAGGATTCTTGGAATTTGCCAGAGAACACCAGGATTAGCAAATTTGCCACTGGTGCCCTGGGCTCTTCACATAGGAAAGCAGGTTCAGACTATGCACATATGACCAGTAGTCTAGTTGTGGGATCAGTATATACTTCAAATTTCTATTATTTATATTTAGGGTGTCGACCCTAGTCCAGACCCTTGGTTGCTCACATACACACAATTATCTGGTGTTGCCATTAATATGGGGTCGCTATCTCAAACATGACCTTGAACTAGCAATAAAACCTACAAACGCTCACAGTCCCATGAAAAAAACTGTTGGAAGAACTAGAAAGATGTCAGGGATTCAGTAAGAAAACTAAACTTGTTACACCAAAAAATGTATCTCCAAAACGTGGCATTTAACAAGCATCATTTGTTTTTCACTGACTTAAAATAGGAAAGACGTAACCTGATTTGATGTTAGACAGAGAAAAAGACTTAAATGTATTTTTTTTTTCAGTCCCTGTAAATATGTGGTCACTGCTGTACCTACCTGTGGTTGATAGGGGTTGATTCTGTCTATTATTATGCTTTGTGTGGAAACAGTCAGAACAATTCCTTTGTGTTGATATCTTGGAGCACCAATAATTGTCAGTGGGCCGTTTTGAGTTTTAGCAATAGCCATTGAATATCCTGTGAGTTGAATAGGTAAATACATATATTGGATACATCAGTACCTTTTCACATGCTCATTTTGAAAATTTGTTAAGTTTTGGAATTAACTGAAGTAACTATATGCGGCTAACAGACAAACATAACAGACATATGGGTAAGCAAATCATTTTTCTACAGACTGTCTAAAATTGCTAGACAAAAAGTTCTATAAGAGAGTTTTTTTGTCCTAATCTTACCAAGGTAACTGTCAGCGTCCAATGTAGACTCAAATGGGTATGTACTTTCGGGATTATTAAGTGAATATCTCTTGTACCCTCCTCTCCACTGGTTGGCACCAACCATGGACATCTGAATAAACTTCAATGCAAGAACAAAGCACACATTTAATTTCAAATATGTTGTTTTTTTTGTTGTTTTTTTTTTACATTGTAAGATCATATTAGTGAAAACGTTTTATAGTGAGGTTATTCACCCCGGACTCATAAACTGCTCTGAAGCCCTCTTGAGACATTTCATATTTTAACGCCTCTCCACCTGCTTGAGAACCTGAAATTTAAAAACAAAAGATATTGAAATATTAAATTCCCTTTTAGATCAGGGTTCCTCAATTCTGGGCCTTCAGGTCCAAGTTACTCAAATGCAGCGATCGGCTAAGTCAGCCCAGGGGTTGTGGACAACTGTATAGTTCCTAGTGGTGGATAGGGACATCAGGAGGTCCCTATGCTAATTGCATGGGGGCAAGGAATCATACTGTTTCCTGGTTACAGCTCCTTCCTTACTGCCAGGATAGCACTTTTAATGGAAACTTAATGGAAACAGCTGACAGATTTTCACTGTGACCTAATAAATAAATGACCTTAGAGGGAGTTAGATTGAGCCAGGCTGTCCAGAGTCCCAATGGTGACCTAACGATTTAACTCACACACTTTGCTTAAAACAAAAAAGAAATATAATTCCTTTTGATTTATGTTTGTTAAAATTCCTCTGTTAGATATCAAATAAAGTGTGATGTTAGACAATTTCATGTTAGTAGGAAATGGAAAAATAATTACCTTCAATAGAAAAAATCTTGGCCTGCAGGTTTTCCTGTATTTTGTCGAGAGCCTCAAAGCTATTCACTTGGAACACATAATCTTCATCAGGATCAGATGCGATCTGATTGAG